CCAAAGGAAAAACAACAGCTTTGCTGGTTCCAGCCATGCACAGAAACAGAGGCACACTGACAATGCCAATGACCCCCACCCTCCACCCTTTCGTTGCACAAATTGTCATTAATTGACAAATGTCCACAATAAAGCAGAAACAAATTGCATGGTCTTTACCAATCTGCTCAGTTTGTCTGTTTCTTAGTCTTTATCAAGATGCCAATTCTTAGAAATCAGCAAAAAGTAATTACCGGTGTGCCAAAACTTTTTTGAAATCGGTGAATAATTTCCTTCAAATATAAAAGTTATTGTTTGTATTTTCTGCTGGGTTCTACGGGCTGTTTAAGAATGTTTAGGAATAGGCTCTTTGACAAGACACCTCAGACGCCTTCTGGCTGCCTCAGTGTGATTTCTGAATGAACCGAGGCAGCAAAGGAGCAGGTCAAAGCCAACCCTACCCCTGATTTGCTTTTGTGCCGCAAAGCGAGGTTGTAACAGAGGCAAAATGGTTGACAAATGAACAAGTAAGCTGATGCAGTGGTTCAATCATTTATTGAAGTGATTACCGTAATTTCTGGACTATTGAGTGCACCTGAATATAAGCCACACCCGCTAACTTTTAAAATAATAAAAGAAATCGTACGGCCGCACTTGTCTATAAGCCAAAAGGTGTCCACGTTGTAACATGAGATTTTTACACAAATATATGTTAAACTTTTAATTAAATACAAACAAGTATGTACTATAAATGTTGTTGTTTTTTTTTAATCTGAATAGTAAGTATCTATAAGCTGGTTAAAAAACATTTAAAAAACACCGGTACAGTAGCCTACCAGGAATAGTCACTGATCGCTATCATCATCTTCCTCATGTGACTAACCTGTTTAAATAAAGATTGAACGAATGTGTACTAAAACCACTAAATTTGTCTTCTTCGGTGTCAGAATTGAACAGCCTCAGAATTACTTTGTCACACACGTCCTCACTCTCTCTTTCGTCGTCACTTTCAACATCACTATCGTCTTGAGGCAAATTTGCACTTGAGCTTGTGCCGTCCTCTTCATCACACAGGTGTCCAGCCTTTCCAAACCTGTTGGTGATAGTGAATATTTTGACCCACTGTCAGGCTAAGTGTTGCTGCATGAAGCTTGTTAGCCCGTAAAAATCCATAAATTTGCCGCATCATGGTGTAAGTCACAGTGTTCAAAGCGTGTGAAAAATGTGGCGGCTTATAGTCCGGAAATTATGGCACATATGGTTTGTGTGACCACCCAGTCGGGGAATTAAACAACAAACATAAAGATAGACGATGAAGCCCAGCAGCTTTGTATTTAATTTAAAAATAAGTTAACCACAAACGAATCGCTACACTGATTGAACTCATGCTTTGAAAACAATACGAGGCAGAGAGCCGTTACACAGTTAATGCTCCACATCAACACAGCTGAGTTCTGTTCCACACCTCTTTTGATTCTGTGTGCTCGCTTCATCTCGGTAAGCCTCACGTCAGTGCGAGACATGGCCGGCTCCATCAGTGATTTATGGACAGCCAAAGGCAGCTGGGCTGTGTGGCAACTTTGTGGAATTGTTTTATGAAAAAGCCTACAATCAGCTGAATGACACCCCAGGGTCTAACCCTGTCATTATAAAAAGTCTTCAGTCGTTTTCTGTATAAAACTGTTTAATCTTACAATCAGATATTGAACAGCTGCTAGCATATAATAAAGCTGAAACCTGGATGTAAAAGTTAAATTTCACATAACAATAAACATTAAGTGTAAACAGAATAAAACTGTTCTGATCAGAGCAGAGAGTTTCAGAGATCAGTGCAGCGATAATACGAGACACTAACCACCCTGTGAAAACCGTGTGGAAAATTAGACAAATTTCTAGTTAAAGTAAAAGTTGGGCATTAGATCAAACACGAGCACTAGTATTTTCTTCCCAGGCTGCTTGTTGTTAGATTTCTTGAGTAATCAGTGTCTGCTCACCAGATTCCTGCCTCTGGCTGTCACATTGTTTCTGCCAACGCACTCATTATCACCACAAACTCACTCATAAACAGCTTTACAACTGTAAGATCAGGAGCCTACACAACCTACTGACTAAATGTAAATGCAAACGGCGCTTGCATTGGGAGTTAAGCTGACCTATCGGGTAACTGATTATGCACAAGCACAAACCCCAAATTTGAAAAAGATATACGTGTATATTTGAGTTGGAAGTTAGAAATAATATTCAATAACATGTCCCTGTGGTTATTTACAGTTAAAACTCAAAATCCCAGTGTTGCATGCCTTTAGAGTCTTTTCAGCCAAAACAGTGCTGTTGCCAGCTGTGTTAGCAAAACAATGAATGAACAAGACAAATAATTTTAATGCTACTCTTAGTAAGCAATTATTAGATGAATATCCGGTTGTTGTTTTTTTTTTACTTTTGGAGTACACCCGGTTCAAGATGGCTGCCAAAGCAAGACAAAATTAAAAATAAAAACCATAGAAGTGACTGAATCGCAATCAGTTTTACCGATATTTAGCTGAAATTTGTTGTGCTATTACACGAGAATCATCCCCAACACGTTTTCGAAGAACTACACATTATTAGTATTTTTTGCTTAAAACTTCGGCTTCAACCATGTACCGGTAAAATATTTCATGAACCACTGGGCAGCTTTTAGTAAAACTCAAAAATTAAATACAAGCTGTGCATTTACCATATAATTGATCAGCTTTCGGAGTCACCGCAATTCAACAGATAGCATCAAAATGGCTACAAAGTCAAATTAACTAATGCGCCAATGTTCATGTGGTAGTAACCGAGAGTCATTCTCAACACATCAACAAGATCTTGCTATTTTTTTGTTTACAGTGTAAAAATAAAAGTAGTTTATGCAAATACCGGTAGTAAAAAAAACTGTGATAAACTCCTTACTAATATTCTCACTAGGGATGCACGATATTATCAGCATGGTATCAGTCGATATTAGCGTTAAAGTTAAATATCGGACATCGGCGCCATCAAAATAGCTCACCGATATAAAAAGGTGCTGTTTTTGTATGACAACCCAGTGACAAGGATTCCTACAGCGGCAGCACAATGCGATGACATCACGTGCGCCTACCTGGTCTCACGGTGGAGAGGAAAATTTTAAATGTCGGTGGTGTGGAAGACTTTTTTCGGTGAGGATGTCGGATTCCGAAGATTTTTGGACTACGTTGAGCCTCGCTACATCGTCCCCAGTCGGATATATTTTCCGACGTAACCTTACCCGAGTTACAAGCCGTCATTTCCGACGTCATTGAGAAGCTAATAGCCGATAGCACTTGGGTGAGTTTTACTACAGACATTTGGACGGCGTGTTAGCCCTGTTAGCATGATTAGTGTTACGGCACAACGGATAGACAAAAACTTTGAACTTAAAAAAGGCTGTCCTTCATGCACAGAAGTGCAGAGGATCCCAGACTGCAGCTAGGAACCTGGAACAAGCCTCCACAAGTGAGACAGCATTGCAGGTGACTAATGCTAATAAATAACATTTAACACTTTTTATTTAACATAAGTTAAAGTGCTATGCATATCATTTGGCTGTTACTGAATATATGTCACAAGGTCTTACAGCTTTTGTAGCAAATAAGCCTAAATAAGAGGCTATGTTCGGACAAAGGAAAGTGAGGGCTGTGGCTGAGTGTTTAGAGCAGTTGTCCTCCAATGCAAGAGTTGGGGGTTTGAATCCACCAGCATTCACATGCCAAAGTGTCCCTGGGCAAGACACTGAACCCCTCGTTGCCTCAGATGTGTGTCCCATCGGTGTAAGAGTGTGAGAAAGCTCTGATTAGTCTCGTTAGAATGATTTGTTCAATTAGCTTTGTACAGATCTAGTAGAGTGCTGTATGAATGGGTAAATGAGGACAGATTGTGTTGTAAAGCGCTTTGAGTATCTCGATGAGATAGAAAGGCACCATAAGTACAGCCCATTTATATAACATATCGGTATTGGTTATCGGCCAAAAATCCAATACCGTGCATCTCTAATTCTCACTAGACTTTTGAGATCTAATTTGCATTTGAACAAAACCCAGGACGCACTGCTTCTCCCAGGTTTGATTATCAAGCAGCAGCAGGTTTGTTTTGACCGTTCCTTTGGGGTTTGTATGACAAATTGGAGGCCACTGCACATCTTGTACAGCATTCCTCATGATGGTGCATCATCCTCTATTACAGGTTGGAAGGCCTTAGTCATGCTCGGAGAGAGAAGAAAAGATCCTGACTGGTCCTTGTAAAAGTGAGCCGATGTGTTTTTTTTAGTAATTCCTCATCCAACGTCCCTTCTTTTTCTTTTGCTACCTCCTCTTTATACCCGTCCGACCTCTGCTAACCTCTCATCTTTAACAGCCTTTAAGAGTGGCGTGAATGGATGGTATTTGAGCATTCTGGGATGGATGGCTGGGGGCCAGATCCCCATGGTTACCCTGGAGCAGCAAGTGGCTCTTTCTTGTGTGTACTTAACCAGTCTGCATGCATGGGGGCTCATGAGGGAGACAAGACAAGTTGAGTGGCATCATCACCAAGTCTTGCACACCAATAAATCGCCTCCCTAAATCAGTGTTTTTTTAAAAGCACCACCAGGTCTTAGGCAACTTCTTTCGCTCTTCAGTTGTATGGTCGCACTGTAATAAACTAAACAATGTTCTAGTGAGAAAAGCTGAAGCACCACTCAGCTGATAGTCACAGGTTGTTAAGATCACAAGAAGGAAGGATGGTGCATTTCCCCCTGATAAAGGGATCAAGACTTGACCTTAAAAGGTTGGTTTCTTTTAGGGTCTGTGGTACAATATGAGGTGGCACAAGCTTGGTTTTGCAGAGTGCCTTTTCATGGACATCAGTCATCCTTTACCCTTCAATGAGCATCAGCAAAACGCCAAACAGGAGGTCAGAATTGAACATTTAGTCCAGCTATCCCAAGCTCCGCCATCACTAGGACTCATGCAGGTAGTGATGAAGTCAAGCTAACCCCTTACCTTTGACCTGACTCTCATACTCGGCGATGATTTCCTTGTCCTTTTTGAACCTCGGCGTGGACATTTTCTGCCTCGGAGCTCGATGTTCAAACTTCTTGTAAAAACTGTCCACAACAAGCGGAATCCTACTGCAGCCGCATGATCCTACGGCGGAGGAATGGACCGCAGAGAGCGCCGACACAAAATGGGGGGGGGTTAATTCCGCAACAAGGAGAAGAAGAGAGTGTTTACTACTTCATTGTCCCCCTTCCCTGTAAAGACGGAGCAGGGCCGATGCGGAATCCCGCTCCCAGCGAATGTCCGGACTCCAAGAGTCGAGTCGACAGCCCCACTGCACAGACAGAAAAAACAATCCCGCAAGTTTCAGGCTCTGGAGCAACTGGTCCAAGCGTCATGGGGGGGGGGAGGAGGGGGGAGGCAGCGAGTCAACTTCCGTCCTGAGTGGAAGTGGTTTCAAGTTGGGACACGCACACACTTATTATTACCCCCACCCGCTCCCTCGCTCGCTCGCTTTCCCCACCACGAAGCGGCTTGGACCCCCCTCCCTCCTCAACTCCCAGCACGCGAGGCAGACTGCAGCTGGAGGGGGGGGTGCTCCCTCACAGACAGAGAACAGTCATCAGCCCGAGCTGACGCGTTTCTGTCCGCCACGTTCTAAACTTGGAGCAGATTAAAGTGAAGCTCGAGTTGATTCAAATAGCTGCTGGAAATAAAACGAGGATATTTCATTCCGCTAAGGCTGAGAGCTGAATGAGTGACGCTCCTGAAAAATAACTTCAAGCTAAATGCTGCTAGGTAAATGTAACAGGTTAGCTCAAAGCTAAATACAGCAAAAGGCTAGCTGAAAGTAGCAAAGGGCTAACTAGGTAGCAAAACGGTTGTAAAATAGTATAAGTTGCAAAAAGTTAAAAATTTAGTAAAAGGCTATCTAAAGACTAGCTAAAAGTAGCTAGCTTCAACCTTTATTTATACAGGTTAATAGCATAGAACCTCGGGGACTCATTTACAAGGGAGATCTGAATTTTTAACAAAGAGTGATAACAACAATGAACAGTCATGAAATAGACAAACAAATTTCGTATGGAAGCCCATTTCTGTCATGAAAGAAAAAATAAAACCCCAACAGGAAGTCATCATTTTGACTTTTAAAGTCATAATTATGGGAATAAAAATCATAATTGAGTTTTAAATTCATAATCATAGAATGTCATAATTTTGACTTAAAACCATATTTTTGACTTTAAAAGTCATAATTACAAGAATAAAAGTCATAATTTCGAGTTTTAAAGTCATAATTTTGACTTTTCTAATTTAATTTTGAAGTTTGTCCCTTGTCGGACACGGTAGTTTTTCTGCATAGCACATGGATTCATTCATTCAATGTATGTCCCTCTGACATCAACCCTTTTAAATAAAGGTATTTAATGTATACATCTTTTCATTGCCACATTTAGTGTCGAAGCCCATTTCCGCTATGACATAAAAGCTCAACAGGATGTCATAATTGAGTTTTAAAGTCATAATTACAAGAATAAATGCCAAAATTACGACTTTTAAAGTTGTAATTTTGAGAATAAAAGTCATAATTATGACGTTCAAACTGATAATTATTATTTTTATTCTCGTAATTATGACTTTAAAACTCACAAGTATGACTTTGGTTCTTGTAATTATGACTTTTAAAGTCAAAATTATGACTTTAAAATTCGAAATTATGACTTCCTGTTGGGCTTTTATTTTTTCTTTCATGGCGGAAATGGGCTTCCATAAATTTGAGGGGTTTTTTTTTGTCTTTTTACAAAATAGCAAAAAGATAATTTTATGTAGATAAAGACTAGCTTAAACCTAATGGTAGCAAAAGGCTAGCTGAAAGTAGTAAACAATGAGCTAAAATCTTTATCTCATATATGCTGCTGCTGTTAGGCGTATTGTTTGTAGTGCTTGTATTTTTAGTTAACGTTTTTCTTAGTTCATATCTTAAATCTTATTACTGTTTTTCTTTTACATTTTATACTTTTGTTGGATGTAACTGGGACCCTGTGCACACAATTTTGTTCCACCACATATACCACATGAGATGCTAATGACAATAAAGAAACCTTGAGCTTGATAATCTTCATATCTCCTCCTACATGTCACTAAGTGCAGCTACAGCGTGCGCTCTCAGGACATTATTACATGCAGTGTTCCCTCAGTGAGGACTGAACTTGGCAAAAGAGCCTTCTCTTACTCCGCTCCTGTAACCTGGAACACCTTGCAAAAAGATCTGAAGCTCTCGACCATGACATCTTAAGGGATTTTAAACAACTGCTAAGTTCATGGCAAAAAAAAACAAAACATTGCAGACATTTCTGTTTTTATTTTATTTTATTAATCTTTATTTAACCAGGCAAATCCCATTGAGATCATAGATCTCCTTTACAAGGGAGGTCTGGCCCTGAAGGCAGCCTAACATGCATATATTTACTGTATATTTGAATATTTGGGTTGAATGAATAAAAGTAGCAAAATGGTAGAAGTAGCAAAAAACTGGCTAAAAGTAGCAAAAGGCTAGCTAAAAGTACAAAATGACTTTCTAAAAGTACCAAAAGACTATTAAAAAGTAGCAAAATGGTAGTTAAAAATAGCAAAAAGCTAATTTTATGTAGATAAAGACTGAACTTAATGGTAGCAAAAGGTTAGCTACAAGTATCAAACGATTAACTAAAAGTAGCAAAAGTCTAGCTAAAAGTAACAAAATATTAGCTAGAAGCTAAATCAGCATAAAATCTAAAATTGAGTAAGTATGGTTTCAAAAAGAACAGTTTTTGACTTCAGTGTATTTTTACACAGGAAATATTTGTAATTAAAGTTGAATATTTTTAAAGTTTTTTTTTTTTTTTTAAAGTCATTAACTTCTGAATGCTGAATGTTCTGATTTTTGAATGGCTAAAATATTAGTACAGACTATTGTTGGATAAAATAAATACCCTTTCATCATTTACTTGAATAAAGGAGCTCACACACGACAGACTTTTCAACCCAGTTTACTTACAAGGTCAGAGTTCACATACAGGCTTTCACAGATGCACAGTTACATGAGCCTCGTCTGCGGCGAGCAGTGCGGCAGGAAGTGCTTTAATACTGTAAAACAGGTGAGGTCAAGACGACTTCGGCTTTCCAGCTTACAGTCCCATAAGGCCTTGGAGTTTAACAGGTGCGCTACCGTGCACCTGCAGGCTCCTCTCTGAAGAGACAGCACAACTCTACCTCTCACACGTTAAACATTAGTTACTGATAAACATCCTAAATCCTCCTATGCAGAGGTAATTAGATTTAAAAATACACCTGGAATATTTAAATATGGGCAAACAATAGTGAATGCTGAGTCAGTGATAAAGTAGAATAACCTATACTGTTCTATTAAAACAAAATGTCCCATCCATCTTTGGACAAAAATAGTGTCTCACTGATGCAAAACCATAATTAAAACTAAAAGGCTATGGGTGAAAACCACACAAACTGCATAATCCTTATGATTTGAGCACAAATTATTGATTCACTAGAAGTATATTTTAATGTATTCTAAACAGAATTCATAAAATAAATGTACAATTATTACTTTATATTTAATGTTTTGTTTAATTCAAGAAAACTTTTTTTTTTTTTTGCCATTAGTCCAGTGCTCTTGTTCTCAATTTTACCACTGCATCCCCTGGACCACAGCGCCATCTGCTGGCACAACTGAAAAGCACATCACAGATTAGATAACGATTCACTGTAATTGCACCGTTTAAAAAGTGCATGCAGCACAGCACTGAAAAAATACAACAAAATGTAATTCTTTACTCAAGTTTTGACCAGGAAAAAATGTACACGTCACACCAATCATTTTCTTAAAAAGATTTTCACGATACAAAACTGATCTACTAAATGTACCATTTTCAAAACAAAAGTCTAAAAGCACAAAAAAAAAAAGAAAGAGTTTAATCCTACACATGATGCTTAGTGTTCTCCAAAACTCACAGTTTTCAGTGCATACAAACAAAGATACAAAACATGTCTGAAGTAAAACATGGGCTATAAAATGTAAAGGCAGCTTACAATTTGTAATTTCTAAATGCCTGTACATTCCACAGCTGTAAACATTTCAGTTAAAATACAACCAAAAAAAAGGAAAAACAAACAATATATAACGTTACAAACTAAACGTATAGCAACTTTATAATTTCACTGTTACAAAAAAGATTTTAGAATAACCTGCTTCAGATAGTAGATCACTGAATATCACCAAGTTCACTATACCAGTAGTACATCACTTCTTTCTCCAGAAACCACAAGTTACATCAATATTTATTGGGAATCCTATAAAAAAAACCACCAGTCAGACATTTTTGAAGAAATTCTCCTCGATGACCTCAGTGAACCTCTCCTTCATCTGCTGACGGAAGCTGGAGTACCACTCCAGCAGCCTCCTCCTCCTGTCCACCCTCTGCTCCTGGCTCATTCCTCTCTCCCTCTCCAGGATGGCCGGCAGCTCCTTCCAGTCACTGATGAAGATGAAGGGCGCCCCGGCAGCCTTTAGGAGACGCAGCGGAGAGCTGGGCCCTGCTGCACAGCTCCCAGGGGTCAGCACATCTTCAACCACGGGCACAGAGCCGTAGGAGCACGCTTCATAGATGCGGTAACACTCTGTGTTGATCCCCACTGGACAGAGAGTGAGCTCGCTCTGAGCCAGAGCTGTCTGATAGCGCTTCAGACTGTCTGATGTTTCCTGAGGAAGCCACCTAAGGTTAGAACAAAGAATACATAATACTTAATCAACAAAATAAATATGGCAGATGGAGTCTGGTGATGCTCTTTCAAGACAGTTGCCACATGTTTAAACTGAAAATCTATACTTAAAAAGTTACTGAAATCAGGAGGTGATTTTTTTTTAACTTGTCCAAACAGGATACATACTGTACAAGCAATAGGGTGTTAAATTAAAAAAAAATATATATATATATTGGTAAAATAACAAAATAACAACAAAAAAGACTTACTTATCCCTGGCAGCAGTGAGGCATTCCTTATCTAAGCCCGACTGTTTCAGCACCTGCATCAACGCTTCCCTGGAGGAATTTTTGTAAACTGTTCCCAAGAAATTGCAGAGGTATGGTCGGTTGGAAGTTATCAACTGGGCGTTAGGCCTGATCATGGGAAACTCTCTGTATCTGCACAGAAACAAAACAAAACAGCAGTTTGTATGTTGAAAAATGTGTTTCGAATAGAAAAGACAACCTCACATAGCTGGATGCACACATTTATTTTAGCGTTGCTCTTTGTTAAGATACACACACACACATGCATAAAACTGATGAGATGACATACGTGGCAACGCCAAGAGGCCACTGGAAAACATCCTTATCGTTGACCCACGGACTGTCATAAACGAGGAACAGCAGATCTACAAAGCCACCATTTCTCTTTAAGTGTGGGGCGATCCAGTCATTGTTGCATTGCTCATTGCCCAGCAGAACCACAGCTACATGAGATAGTGTATTGGAATGAACTAGAGCCTGGACGTGCTCCAGCCAGCGTGTGGAGTAAGTGACCTTCTGCTGCTCTCGGCCATTGAGAACCAAAACCAGACTGTTCATTTCCAGAGGAACGTGACCCTGGACCACAGCTGGCCCAGTGTAGAAACTAAAAATGGGCAAACAAGCAAATAGAGAAAGAAAGACTCAGTTTTTTTTTCATAATCTTTTCATGACAATTTAGTAGTTTGTCACTAAGAATAAAAACAGGAATGTAAAATGAATAATCTGTGACTTATTACCTGAATTCAATCTTTCCTGACTGCAGCTCTCCCTCCCTCCATTGTGCTACTTTGTCAGTTGGGTTAAGAGGTCCTTCCAAAATATGTTCCCAAAGATAAAGCCCTGAGAAGAAAAAAAAAAGGTTTAATACAATTTGTGACCAAATTTTAATATTTTATCATTATGTACAATATCAGTACAATGAAATGAAAGCAGAGTCTTTTGTACTGAGCCTCCTTATTTTCACAACCACTGATGACACCACAAAGACAGACTGATTATATCTGAAGTTAATGTCACTCAAAACCGAATGCCACAGGAACATTTATTCATTTTCATGCTTGATTGTGTTAAACTCTTATTAAAAAACAAGTGCATTTGTTTCACACACAAAAAAAAACAACACTAAATAATGTATCTTAAAAGCTAAAGTATACATGAAAATGCCATTTTGAAACCTAATTTTAGAATATTCATGAAAAAAATGTCCAACTACTGGCTTTACTATAAATCTGCAACAGTTACATTTATAAGATTTCACTGATAATTAAATGTTACTATCCAAATTATAGTTTTAATTAAAGTAATTATCATAAAAGTAGTCAATTTTAGCTCTAAAATAAGTTTACCTTTTAATTTAAACTTTATAGGCATACTAACTCAATAGCATTAAGTGTAAATTTCAACAAAAGCAAATCTAAAATTGCTTGCAAATCATAACTGAAAAAACAACAACATTAAAATTATTCTGAATGAAATGAACATAAAACGTTATTTTTGATGACAAAACTGTGACTGATAAATTTATTTGAGACTTACCAATGGCAGCTTTTCCCCAGATTTGGACGTTGTATCTTTTTGGTTTATTTTTATTCATTCGAGCCATTTGCTGTTTAAAGGCCTGTCTTTTTTTGTTTAAAGCGGAGTTGTACTCCACCTCTTCATCCTCCCACGGATTCCACTCATCTGCAACAAATGGAGCACCGCCATCTCTGACACCACCTGCAAACACAACATGACCTCCAGTTAGCTCACCTGAATACCTTTTTATATCAAGAAATTATTAAAACGCAATCAATGCAATGACTTCAATACGTTTGATGCATTGTTTTGACCGAGATTAAAATGGTAATTATGTAAGTGAAATTACCCGACGGTGCTCCGGGCTCCTTCTTCACCACCCTATGAACGCGGGAGATTACTTTGTTGCTGAAGAAAACATTATATGCAGCGTAAAGAGAAAATGCTACGTAGGCAAAAATAATGAGAAGAAATAGTTTTCTCTTCGGTATTTTCATTTTCTTCTCTTATCTCAGGTTACCATAGTGTGGCTAGACTCCGTACATTTTGTGCAAGGACCCTTGTTTACAACATAAGGACCCCAGGACATAGCTGACTTAGAAGATGCCTGTACTAATTTTGTGCGTGTGTGGTTGTTTTATTTGTTTCGCAAATGAAAAAAAATATATAATTTTTTTTATAAATATTTTACAACTAATGATTTTTTAAACTAATAAGTACAGTACTTAAGAAAAAACAAATTCTTAGTGAATATATTCTAAAGAAGACAGATGGCATAAACCAGAGTAGTCTTAATAAGGATTCCAGGTTCTTTATTGTCACATAGCATGTGGTACACGAGGTGGAACGAAATTGTGTATACAGGGCCCCCTTTACATCCAACAATAGCAAAAATATAAAGTGTAAAAAGAAAAAGTAAATAAGGATCTAAGATATAAACTAAGATATACTCACTAATAGTGCAAAACAATACACAGAACAACAGCAGCACGATTCTCACAGGTTTGGTTCGGCTATAATTATATAATAATATAGTTTATAATATAATTTATAATTGTACTTATAATTATCAATAATTTATCATTATAAAATGAAAGTAAATAAAAAAGTTGGAACAAAGCCAAGGGCCTTATAGTATAAGCAATTTGTTATCGTATGAGTACATCAGCTGTATGAACTCACGATTAATTTTGTACACAACCATTATAGAATTATTTTACATAAAGCAAACATTTTGAAATTGTCCAAAATGTGTAGGTTTTTTTTGTGGCATACAGCAGGTTTTTCAATAAATTTAATGGCTGCTCCCCTCTTCAGGGGTCGCCACAGCGAACTAAGTCACACGAAGACTTGGCAATTATTTTTACGCCAGATGCCCATCCTGACACAACCACAGACCTACCACAGCTGTGTGGAGCAGAGAGCTGCTATCTAGGGTGCTTGGGGGAGCATCAGGTGGGGTTTGGGGGCCCTGGATGGGGCAGATGAGGGTGGAGGCAGGTATAGGTGCATCACCTATCCCACCTACATTTTGATGCTATCGGTAATTGAAAAACTTCAGTTTCCTAAGTTGACTCTGACAGTAATAATGTATGCTAAGAGAATCTTGTGAAACCAGCCACTAGGGACCAAAACCAGCCACTAGGGAGCACAAGTGTATCTCTTATGCCAGCCCCAAGACCAGGTCATGAGGGTTGTGTAAAGAAGGGCAGGCAACGTCAAACCCTTTAGCCAAAACTAATATCAAAGTTCATCTAAGCAACTCCATACCATATTGGTCGAGGCCCAGGTTAACGACCACCACTGCTGCTGCTGTGGACAAACAGGGTGCCAGTGGAAATTGTGGTACTGTTAGTCAAAGACCACGAGGAGGGAAGCATGTCAGGAGACGGAGGGAGAAGAGGAAAGTCAAGAATGTAGGACTGATGGTGGCAACTCTAAATATGGGGACAATGACAGGCAAAGGTAGAGAGTTGACTGACATGATGCAGAGAAGGAAGGTAGATGTTTTATATGTCCAAGAGACCATTTATTAAAATGCCTTACAAAAATGCTCGTTGTTTACATGTCTTTGGCTCCTGCAGGAACTCACCTTGCCCACACAGACATATTCTTGGCATCTCAGCTTACATTTGTGAAGGTTTTGGATCCAATAGGTCCTCCTCCTAGGAAAGCAATGATGAAAGAAAGGCATTCTCCAACCCTTAAGACTGGTGCTACTACTGTGGTTAAGAGTCTATGCTGCAAAGACAGTTATCACCCAGTTTGTCTCCTCCAGTACATCAGCTGATGTCCTGGCTTCGTCCAAAATTGAGATCAAGCTGAGTAACATTCCAAAAGGTTAAAAATATGACCTTAAAGTAGAGAGGAAGGCCCTTATCTGTCTGTCCCCGCACAGAGAAGGAAATTGCCCAAGAGGCGGCTATGAATGTGACCTCCAGCACGACAGAGAAGTGAGAGCAGATTAAAAATAAACGTGAAAATGATTTAATTGTTATACATTTGTGAAACAGTATAGATGGATTTGCACAAAGCCCACAAAAAGCTTTGTAAACCGAGTCTGTGGTGTCCATTCTTGTTGCGTTTTACTGAAATAATTAAATAAATTCACACAACAATGCAGTCATATGCGCGTATCAATATACAAACAGCAAATTGGCTCATTAAATACACAATCATCTTTATATAAATTAGTATCAGTGCAAGTGGACAGAACAAATAACTTTTAACTAAGAAGTGCACTTTTAAAATCAAATCAAATACACAACCTTCAATTTCAGTCGCTTTTTAAGTACCAAGGTGATTTTTCACTATTGTCACCCGTTATTAGAATTAAGATTGAAATGTTTTCATAATGCAGCGATTGCAGTATCTCCTGTTTCGTAAAAACTATTTAGTTTTTGTTGTCCACAATTCCATCCCAAGGAGTGCGTAAATCTCAAGTCAAGTTATTCAGGTAACACTAATCCATGTAGTGCACCTCTGCCTGGAGCTCCTTGGTGACATACCCAATGAGAGCAGCTGTAACCTGCTGCTTCAGCATGGCATTGCCCATCACCAGAGCAGTTAGCTGAGCCAAGTCAGTCCACTGAATGTCTCCCAGGATGCCCATGAGATCATCATAAAGCTTCTGCTGCTGCGGAGGGCTGAGCTCCATTATGATCTGAGGCAGAGGTTTGAACTGTCCACTGGTCATCCAGCAGCCAAGGAGGCCTCCCACTGCACCACCTGGACAGGAAGGTTTTAAACTAGTGGAAACATGTTGCACGGTTTATCAAGGGGGAAAAAAAAATGGTAGTATTTTACTTACCCACTGCAATACCAAGAGGACCCCCAATCAAGCCTCCAGCAAAAGCAAGTCCGCCAGCTGCTGCTGCTCCTTTCCCTGAACCTTTCACTGTGGACTTTATCTGCTGATTGGCAGATAACTCGCAGCACAGCTTCATAACATCATTGATACGATGACTCATCCTGTGGAGCACAAAGTTTTAGACACAGCAGAATAAGCTTCCTGAATGTGCAACTTTTATTTTCTGTATGACGCTGGACAGTAAACCAGAAATGCTGTGAGTTATGAGATCACCGTGTCAAATGCCACACCAGAAATTACAGGATATACTAAGACTGAATACATTAGATTTTTTTTCTCACAAAGCAAAATATCAAATTGCTTGCCATTACTTTTATTTTCTATACCAAATTAGTATATATACACACACAAAAGTAATAATTACTACAGCTCCACACACACACACAAAAATAACTTCTTGAAAAAACAGTGGGGGAAAAACACAATACATAAAAACACTGGCTTGAACAAATTGTTCCCAAAGCTTGGTAGAAATATCTAGAAACTTTTTCCTTTTTAAAGAACATTAGGCTCATACAGTTCAGTCAAATAGTAATGACACTTGTTTCTTCTAGTACACAGTTTACAACCATTTCTTCTGACACTGACATCCAGAGTAGTTTTAAGAGATGAGACGAAGCAAACTCTGTTAATTTATTTTAAATCTGTTTATTTCAACATTTAGCTTCTAACACCACGTTGCGTCAGAAAGCATCATGAGTCAAAGGCTAATCTATGTTCTCCTCTGAAAAAAAAAGACTAAACTTGAGACACATAACAGCGTTATTAAAACGTACCAAACATTATTTATCTACCTTAGAGTGAAGTTAAATCCATAAAGTATATTCTTTATTGTTAAAACCCGGTTCCAGCTCTCCTCCGCCGGCGGGACATGAGCTTATATTTTGCATTGGACATTGTCGTGTCGCAATGCCTGATGGGAAAAACTTTATTGCTGCGTTCACGGCACGTTGACAAGCGTACAATTTCAGACGTATTTGAGGTCAAATAAATACAAACTTTTATTTTGATAAAGCAGGTTTTTTACCTTTAGTTTAGCTACATTGAGAGGATGTAGTTTAGATCTAAATTAGAAAGTATAAAATATCATTATGTCTACACAGCATGTTGATCATTAATTTCAACATGGTATAGAAGCTGAAAAGCTGAAGTGTTGTTACAAATGATTTAATATTCTTAATTCATCCCATATCTTGATACAAAGAACAGCCCTGTACTATATATTGTATCCTATATATTTAAGAGATAACTAATGTTTAACTTGCGCAATGTTTACAGCACGTAGTTCTGCTATTTCCGACGGCAATTAAAAGCATCAAGATCATCTCAGAAATGAAGTCATAAATGGTCTCAAACTGTAGCCTCCTCATCCTTAACTCTTAACATTACTACTAAATGTTTTATGCAGTTTTATTAGAGTAAACAGTGTCAGTAGATGTTTGTATAGCCATACGAAAAGATCATCTTGTTGATATTTAAAATTGCCTCTTTTTTCTTACAGCTAGAGCGCTCAGTAAGTTTGACTGTGCAACACTGTGATGGTTAATGTTACTGCATTTTAACTAATCACCTTATTAAATGAAGACTGTTTACATTTCTGCAAGTGTGCCTATTTACCCAGAATACACCGGGAGACAGAGAAGCAGCGACGTCAAGATTACTTTAGTTAGGTTGGTTAACGGAAGTTACAACTTGGATTTTCAAAATAAAAACAAAATGAAGACGTCTGGAAATGTATGAGCACTTGTGTAATTCTACAAAACAATAAAAGTTGCAAAATCACATTTGATTTTTTTTTTTTTTCAAAAGCATCGGTTATTGAAACAAACGTTTCCAAATCTCTTCAAACAAAGCCAAGCGTCAAAGGTTGAATCAAGGTATTACTGAGTTTTTTTTTAACAATACAATGCAATATTTGTCATCTGTTAGATATTTGTCTACGTCCTAAATCCTAAGTCCATTAAAATCTGATGGCATTATACAGTTCTACACATCTTGTTTGATGCAAGTGACTGACAAAAAAACAACACATAAACTAATTTTCAGTCATTAGCAGTAAAGGGTAATGGACCATGAAGAATGGCTGAGTTGTTATTTTGTTTCTACTTATTATTCAAAAGTGCATTTGCTAATTAAGTTTTTTTTTTTTTTGAAGAAATAGAGCAAAAAGGGTTAAATCCTTTCTTCAAAGAAAACATACCATATCAAGCTAAAGAATTGACTCAAGAAAGAAGCTTGTAAAATAATTATAACACATGTAAAGTCTGAGCTTCAAATAAAAACTAGATAACAGAATGTAAATAAGGCCGTGCTTCAACTGAGTGACTAAATGTTTTTTTTTTTCCGTAGCCATCTTCTTCATAGTACTTTATTAGGAACTTATTTCAGCTGAGAGTTGCTGTGAGCATGCGTTACTTAATTTCTCTCAAACCCAGCTGTTCGAAGCAGACGGCCGCTTGGCCTGAGCCTGGTTCTGCTGGAGGTTTCTTCTTCATGAGAGAGTTTTTCATTTTATTTCCACTGTTGCCTCTGTGCTTGTTAAGGATGGGAGACTGTGATGAAAAAAGTAATCTGTTGGCTCCTTAGATAAATATTGTTATTAACTGACATTATATGTAGTGAATGTTTCTGTTCAGTGCCCTGAGATGACTTCTGTTGTGATCTGGTGCTATATAAATAAACTGAATTGAACTTGTATGACTTCATTTACTCCTCTCTCAAACCATCGTTCCTCTCTGTCCAGGATGTGAACATCTTCATCCCTGAAAGAGTGACCGCTGGCCTGGAGAGGAGTGACCGCAGAGTCCTGGCCAGTGGCTGTTTAGTTTCCCCGATGTAAGACTGATCACAGCCCTGACACTGAACAGCATACACAATATTACTCCGTTTGTGCCGGGGGACTGGATCTTTGGGATGAACCAGTCTTTGCCGTAATGTATTTTGGGTTTTGAAAGCCACTGGGATGTCATGTTTAGAAAATAAACATCTCAATTTCTCTAAAATAGATTAATTATTGTAATTAATTAGCAATTATTACTAACTAATTTATAAAGTTTAAATAAATTAACATTAAAAGGCGGCTTATTTTAGACGCATACACGCAGATGCTTTTATTTTGAAGGGTGAAAGCGGATGTTCCGTTGTATCGCCTGTTGGCTCGCTGCGAGAGTGCATGGCGCAGAGAGAGGAGGACTAAGCTCAGCGTTGGGATCTTGAACGGTGGATATTTGTGTTTCTGAAGATCATGCAGAAACCCTGAAATGAGACCAGCTCCGGACGCGTGGACCTCCATCCCCGCTTCATTGATGAACACGTGCAGCACGGCTCCGAGGACCAGCTGCTGTAGCTGCATTCATAAACACTTCTTTAGGACTCACAACAAACCCTGAGCTTTGTTTTTGTGGGTCTCCAAACGCGCACTTGACTGTTTTGCACGTGACTCGACGATGGCCGAGGAAGGTGAAGTGAATGTAGGGAGGCTCCGAGAGGAACACGAAAAGGTAATGTTGGGCTAGTTTTGCTTCCGTGGGGGGCAGAACCCATGCCGAGCCACGCGGTTGGATCAGTTTGGACTCGTCGAACCTCTTCGTGCTGCTTGTAGAAACATCTGCGAGCCACTTGTTTTACAAGTTGCTTTTCAAGCCTCCCGAGGTTTTGTTTTCCCAACCACTTTTCGAGAAGCTTCCTCCTTCGTGCAGCCGGTCACGTGCTCAGTTTGGTTTAAATGGAAGCGTGTGCGTGCAGACGAAGCTACACGTTTAAAAATAAACACGTTTTTCATGCGTTATCGACCAGTGCACGTGACTTTTTGAGTGAAGCTGCCATCAGATCAAGTTTTAAATCTAGATGTTTTCGTAGCTAGTCGTGTCATGGTGTTGAATTTTAAAGATGCAGATGTTTTGATCAACTGGCGGCCCGCGGGCCACTTCCGGCACGCGGGTGACTTCAGCCCGGCCCACTAATGAGTTCATTGAAAATAATTTTGGGGTTCTGGGTTTAAGTTTTGGGTTCTGCTTATTGCATTTATGATTCAGTGCAATAAAATAAACAAATTTAAAAGGTAACAGATCATTGTAATACTTGGTTTATTTACATAATGACTTTAAATTGCTGGATGTCCGGCCCCTGGGCTTTCAGAAACTGTGGCCCCTGAGCAGTTTTGTTTCTGGCAGCTGGTCGACTTACTCTCTTCCTGTTGGGATTCAGTCTAATATGTGCTTTTAATCTTAAAACAAGCCATAATCAATTGTAATTAACGGTAATGGCAGTTGGTATTTATTTTTTTTAAATAGCTACTCATTGTAAACTTGTAAAAAAAAAAAAAACATTTCAAAGGTTACACTGAACTAGATCAGATGGTGCCGTTTGAAAAAGAGTGTCGCTGTACTTTTCCAGATATGCAAGTTTGAAATGTGGGTTTGCACTCAATGTAAACAAAACAGCTAGCTAAAGCTGCCAGAGCCCACTTGAGTCACATGATTGACCTACATTAGGCTGGTCTTAGTCTGTGCTTATAAATATAATATAAATATAGAACTGGACAAGCAGAAGCGTAGAGTGAAAATATCGTGGTCAAAGTAATTTTTAAAAAAGCAAAATAAAACTCAATAAGACTAACAAAAGTAAACTTTTGGATTGAGCATGGTAGTGTTGCATCACAAAGACAGAGCTAGATAATCAAACTCATTTCACTTTTCAAATCTTCTAGATTTGAGAGTTTTAATGTTTCAGCCCAACTATATTTATCAGCATACTTTACTCAATAAATCTGATTTTAAAAAGCTTCCTCCTCCTTCTTTCGGATGTTGAATTTTTAGGCGTTGCTGCAGCGAGTCATCCTCTCAATACATCGGAGTTGTCAGATTTTATCCCAGAAGACTCTTAAGTCATTTCAGCTGCTTTTCTAGCTAAAACAAATTCACGTTGTCCACAGCCATTTGCAGATTTAGCGTACAAATCTTTAAAATGAGAACGCATTAACCGTTGATAGGGGAACCAAATTGTTCCTATAGACGTTTTCTTTTTTCTAGGACATTGCAATGAGTACTTTTTAACCTGTTTACCTCCACTGGGGAAATACAGTTGTGTTTTATTGATAGAAGTTTGTGTAAATTGTATCCACTTTAATTTTAAAGCTGAAATTGTTTGTCCTAAAACAGGTGGTGAAAGACTGTGAGAGTCGGATTCAGCACTGGTAAGCATTAAAAAGTCACAAGAACTATTTATAAAAAAGGAAATTTCTGCAATGTTTTTGTATTTAGGCGTCATAGTGTGGACACAGTATTTTTCTTTTGATACATCTGATTCTGTTTAGTGAAGTTACATGATATATTTGTGGGGTTTGTATCATTTGATGAATGCATCATGTATATTTAAAGTTTTAAAATGTGTGTAGTTTAAATAAAAATGGGAAAATGCTAATAAACATATCAGTGGAAGTATTCATGCAAAGGTAAGAGTTTGCAGAGTGTTGCAGCTCAAAGTGTCTCAGATCTTCATCTTGCTCCTTGGGTTTATTATCCTGCTCAGGTTCTAGTACTATCCACCCATATTTTGGTCATATTACAAATGATAGGGTTTACCTCGAACATGGCAGGACATTTAAAACCCCTCCGGTGTTATTTTAACAGTATGCTCAAACATTTACCGCTCTCCCTGGAGATGCTGTTCAGTTCCTGTTCACAACCCCCTGCAGAGGACGGTTATTTTTACAGCTTGATGTTTCTCTGCTGTGCTTCACAACGAAGCATGGTCTTTCTTTTTTCTTTTTTTTTTAGTTAATTGGTTTGTGCAAATTTAATAGTTAAAAGTTTTTGTTTTCTCCTCACAAAAATACCTTGGAACGCTCCCAGCTTCCAACAACTCGGCTGATCACCAGTGTCACACATGATGGGACAACAATTGAATTTTTAAACTCGACATTAACATAATAAAACTCGAGTAGAACTCGAGTACTTGATGACATCATAGGATCTAAAGATACAAATATAAATAAATAAAACTGCAAAAAAGGTCATTATTTACAAAAAAAGACCAACAAAACATTGGGAGTGTATATTATGCTCCTACCTTTTATCATACTGCAAATAAGTCACAGGAAAAACTAAACTATTAGTTTTTATTATTAAGCTGCAAAAGTAAAAGAAACTTGCGGCACGTCAAAAACGAAACTTATAAACAGTGGGGCGGACGACCACCCCGCACCACTGCCAGATGTGGTGTGCATTAGGTTCAGTTTTAGAGATTAATACGTTTATAGGTTTTTTATAGGTTTAGAGATTAATATTTTTTGCTTTTTGTTTGTGAAACGAGGTCAGAGGAAGCTGGTTCTGGTTCGATCATTGGACCCGGTGTCGCACCATATTCTGTGACCTGCAACAGTGCACGCAACACTGCCCCCTACGGTCACAATATACGGTGGTCACAGAATATGGTGTAACACCGGTTCACAACGAGCTCCAAACAGTCAGGAAGTTGATTCATTTTCTGTTTCCTTACGATAGTTGAACCGGAAGATTCATGTTTAGTGAAATATTTCTATCTTTTTGATGCATTTCTACCTGTTTGCCAAGACTGGGCCTGCTCCGCTCAGTCCATCTGCTGGGAGGAATCCATTTTGTAGCCTGCGCCCGGTGCGGATCACGTGACACGTCACGCAATGACGTGAAATTAAAAAACTCTATAATGTCCTAGGAATCGATGTGTAGATTACTCGAGTAGTCTGTTCAACCCCTACTATTTATAAGACTGATTTTTTTTACATTTATTTGACGTGATTTCAAAATAATTTGAAGGCTAAATACAAATAAAAGGTGAACATTAATTTATTTTTACATTTTGTACAGTTTTTCTGAGGCTTTTATATTGTTTATATCTATATCGGAATTATATTGTTATCGACCGAAATTAAGAAATATATCGTGATAGAAGTTTTGGCCACATCATCCAGCTCTACTCCCTCTATTGCTGCTCTTTGAATTTCGTCAGAAAGCAGCAGCCAGAAACACTGTTGACTTTTACAGTGTAGGCTTATTGAAATAAAACTACAAAACGTTGGTGCCTGTCCGAAGTTTTTTATTTTATTTTTGTCCTATTGGTTGGTTCCCGCTCTCCCGTTAAATTTTTATACCGTACTGTCAAAATCACGTGAGTAATATTAAAGTTGACAATCGTGTGTCGAGTACAATCTTTCGTTGAAAACCCGCGAAAGTCGAACCGCGAATTAGTATAGTACAGCACTCGAGGGACTACTGTATAAATCACTGGCTCCAAAGTGTGAGGAAAAAAATTCCAGCTTATACACCGGCAATTACGGTACTTCTGATGAACGCGTCTTTTTCTTGCTCTATAATTTTGGCAGAGGACCATTATATAATATATATATATATATATATATATATA